GCATATATACCAAAATAATAAATAAAATTTTATGACAACGGGACCCTCCGAAGCCGCGAAATTTAACAATTCCCGTTATTTTCTGAACACACCTCGTAAATATAACACATTAAATATTTTAATTTTAGGCCCCTTAAATTTAAAAAATATATATTTTGCGACAAACTGACAATAGGTAATTAAAAATGTAAAAAAAAACTGCTGAAATCAAGCATAAAATATATTTATTAAACCAAATCACAAAAAATACAATTAGTCAAAAATAACTAGTTTTTAAAGTGAAAAATCTGTCACTAATAACTGTAGTCCACAGCAATTTGTATCCCGGACATTTACCAGCTTAATATTATGTAAAACTGTCCCCTGAATCCAAAAAGACTGTCAAAAATTATGAAAGTGGAGCAAAAATATGTCCAACTAATTTTTCATTAAAAAAAAAATAAAAAGACAAAAAAAGTAAGACAAAAAAACATGTGCGCTTGGAACAAATTGCTACACTGAGGGAAAAGAATATTTTTAACAAACGTTGCAATTGTTTCAGCCTGAATGCTTTGAATCAAACAACTCAAATTTAATTCAAAATTAGTGCTTTTGCTTAAAATAGGTGAACTGCTTTGCCAGAAATGGATGATTAGTTTAGGCTGCTGTGTTTGCTGGTATTATTTTTAAGTTCTATGCAAACTTTGTACTGATAGTCAATAATATTAGGTTTTTTACGTTTGAATTAAATTTAGGTGGGTTTTCATAAAATGTGCAATATTTTCCACTAAAATTATTAATGGGTTAACTGAAACTGAAACTAAAACTAAACATATCAAAGTTAATGGGCATTTGTGCTTAGTTTGGAAAGCGCAATTTTTGGAGTGGGGGAACGCCTCTTGAAACGCGTCTTCTTTAGTTTTAAATTTGCCTCCACTGTATACATACGGTTCTTACAAAATAATTTTGTTTCCATTTGGATGAAATGGCATAACGTTTAAGAATATTGTATAAATAATCGGCCTTATCACGAAGTGGCCTAACCCACAAAATGGAAAACAGTGACATTTTGCGAGAGTTAACTTACGATGGTCTATTCTATTACTCCACGAGGTGGCCCATAGTACAAAGTCTGTACTGTAAAAATACATAGGCCATTTCGTGAGATTAGAATAGACCATCGTAAATTCTGCGAAAAATCTCATTGAGTTTATTAATTTTGTGGGTTAGGCCATTTCGTGATAAGGCCGACGATTTATACAATATTCTTAAGCATTATGGCGTTTCATCCAAAGAAGCCGTAATTTCTTCAGAAATGCAATGCATGAAATTGGTAACAAGCAGATACCAATTTTTCCTAAAGTTACTTGCCAAGAAATTTAAAATTAGTAAGTTTGAGGCAAACTTACATCGATTCATACAAAATCGACTATACTGGTAGCAAGAAATTACTAATTTATTAGAAAAGTATTCAACAAAGAATTCAAATTCAGAAAATTGGACACAAATCTACCTGCGTTTCGTTCAAAAGCAAAAAGTTTTCCGGAAGCTCCAAAGTGATGGTTTTTTACCATTAAACCTTGGTACATTCCGCCGTATGTCATACGTGTGAAATAAACGTTATGCCTTTTGCTGAAATAAAACCTTCTCTCAGTGTAGAGTAAATCTTCCTTTGGACAACTTAAAGAAAAGTTGTGTAATAACAATTCTATTAAAAAAAATTATATCAGCAGTTAAAGAACAGTTGCGTAGTAACAATTCTATTAAAAAATCAGCGTATCTTAAATATTTTGAAAAAACCGAAAACCTGTCAAAACCAAAAATCTATAATAACTTAGTAATTCCTTGGAATTAAAAAAAAAAGTTTTACACGTAAACACCAGCGCTCGTTTAACCATTAGGCGGACTAGGCGGCCGCCAAGGGCCCGGCCCGGAAGATTCCAAAATACATCCTAAATACAACTATTTAAATAATAAACGTTGAAACGGCAGAAATGAACATTAAATTTTCATAATGTTGTTCACAAATCAAACAACGAAACACACAATTTGGGCCTTGTCCCGGCGTTGTTCATCTGGCAACGGATTGGTAAATGCGCTTTAACATTTTTAAGTTACTTAAACTAGCCCAAACTACCGCCTAGGATCCGGTGGAGCCTTCAACCGGAACTGGTAAAAAAAGTTTTCTGTTTTTTTTTGCCTACTAGTTACTACCTTAAAATCGATTGAATAAAAAGAAATACTCAAACAGTTTTCGTATAAATAAAAAAATCATCTCCTGAAATATTTACTTTTTTGACATATCATAATTCTGCATTCTGTTTTATCTCCCATTTTGGTTTTGTGATTCTAAATTTTTGCACTAAAAAGTTATTCATTTTTAATTACCTCTTGACAAAGTTATACCATATATATCTTTTTAGGTCGCTTCAAAGTATAAATTTATCGAGTTATTTACATTAGAAGTAGACGCGTTTTGTATGCCTTTAAAAAAATAAAGCATAGTGTTTCCAGATTCTGTCAAAAAGACGGGACCATATTTGTGTGAATTGTGTCATTTTTGTAATTATGGTAAATTCATACAAAATAAATCTGGCATCCCTAGGAGCCGTGTAATTGTCAAACTAGGTATTTTTTGAATTTCATAAGATTTACCTTTTATGAGAAAGGACTAATTGGGTCCTGCTTCCATGTGTTTTTTGCTGTTCATATTTACGATTTTAAAGTAATCTATTAATCAATTTTCCGGATAAATTGTAGCTCATTTCGTACTATGTTTTTAATAAACAAATTACATTGTATTCTTAATAATTTTAAATAAATGGTCTCAACAGTAAAATATAATTACTAAAAAGTGCGATAATTTGCCCCTCACTCTTCTTTTATGGTTAAATCTAAACTTTTTATTGTTCTTTTAAAACAAAAACATGTCATTAAAAGGTGACGCTGTATTTGAGAGAAGTTCTGAACAATACATTGTATTGATGTAGCTTAAAGTGTGCGAAAAGTGAATGGAGCGGATCGTAATGAAGTGCATCGATATAAATGTGCAATAAAAATTCTCGGATTCGCTGTTTCGGAAAAAACCAAAAGGATGGCGCATAGCACATTTATACGCTATAAACTGACATGTGCATTTTATTACAGTTTCAGGTCCACCGCTAAAGCGAGGGCCGGCTGTGTAAAGGGCCGCTTTCTCAAATCCGACAAGGAATAAACTAACACGGGATAATATAGTTCCGACCGAGCGACCGGCTGAATGCTATCGTAAAATCTGTATTGACCAGTCATAAACAAAAAGATTTCTTTTTTTTCGATACGGATTATTCGCTTGGATTAGATTTATTAATATTCCGAATAGTTTTATTAACAACTTCTATTTTGCTAATAAGTAGTTCTAAATGGAGTCATTACAAAAATAACATGTGTTAACTGTAAATCTTATGTTGATAATTTCCTACAAAACCTCTATAGAATTTCAAAAATAAGTTGGTTATAAACAAGGTGCAAAAAAGGTAACGACTTTATTTTACTTTTAGATTAAATAACATATTATGACATTATGTATTGAAAATAACATTTGGCAAATGGCCTCTGCGGCTTCGATGGGTTTCGAGAATCCCAATTTTGGATTACTTTGTGGCAGAGATCGGGTTGTATTTCAATGACGTGTCGGATATTGTCTCGGAGTGCTTCAATAGTTCGAGGCTTATTTTCATACATCAGACTCTTCAGATACCCCCATAAAAAGAAATCCAAAGGAGTAAGATCACATGATCTCGCTGGCCAATAATTGATATCGCCGTTACGTGAAATTACAGGTTCCTTATAACACTAATAGCTAAAACACAGTAAATCATGTAATAAATGCATGAACATATCAATAACAAAAATTAATTCACCAAATGGGCATAACCCAACCACCCCAAGCAAATTAAAACCAAAATAGTGACTTTGACTGGACAGGCCGCTGTCGCTGCACCTTTATATCCAACTTAAGGGTGTAGCGACCGACTTCGGTCGCTGCACCTTTATTTCCAACTTAAGGGTGTAGCGACCGACCTCGGTCGCTGCACCTTTATATCCAACTAAAAGGTGTGGCGGCCGATCTCGGTCGCTGCACCTTTACAAACAGTCACCACACATTTATATCGCGGTCGGTGCACCTTTATCTCGGTAAGGGTGTACTTAAATATCTAACCAGGTTTTTTGAAATTACTTTTCCTGGGCTAATATATAATTTTTATAGCAATAAATTAAGAAAATCATTTCCCATATTAATTACCGATCAGATCACGTACGAAGAAAAGCCCCTAAATCGCAAGGCGAGAGGAACGGCCGAACTCTGAAAATTTTGAAATATCTAACCAGGTTTTTTGAAATTACTTTTCCTGGGCTAATATATAATTTTTATAGCAATAAATTAAGAAAATCATTTCCCATATTAATTACCGATCAGATCACGTACGAAGAAAAGCCCCTAAATCGCAAGGCGAGAGGAACGGCCGAACTCTGAAAATTTTGAACAAGACGAATCTAGCAGCGAGTGACCAACACCGTCAGCAACCGGGAGGCCATGGCACTTGGAGGCAGCAATAACCATAATATTTTTCTCAAATATACAATGTGTTCACTTTTTGATATCCTGTTAGTTTTTGTTTTGTATATATCTGTGATACTATTTTTATAAATAAATCTCTAAATTTGATTTGATTTGATTTGAATCGAGGTCAAAAGAAATCCCGCATTTCATTCGGTACCTTTCTCCGTTGACCGTCAACGCTCATTTTTAAAAAAATAAGGACCGATGACGCGTCATGACGCGTCATGACGCCGCGAGAACAAAATCACACCAGAAAGTAATCTTTTCTGTATGCAGTTGATGCTCTTTGATCTCTCTTGGGTTTGCTTCACCCTAAATCCGACAGTTCTGCTTATTAACAAAGCCGTTCAACCAAAAATGAGCCTCATGTTCTGGCCGACTTTAAAGTCGCCTTATAAATTTTCTAGAGCCCAATTACCAAAACTTCGACGCAAAAGATGATCGTTGGGCTAAAGCTCTTGGGTCAACTGGATGTAATTCCAAGTCTTTGCGCAAGATTCGACAAACTAAGGACTGAGAAAGGCACAATTCTTGCGAAGGTCGGGGAATTGAGAGTTTAGGTTTCCCATGCACACTTTTCCTAACAGGAGCAACATTCTTAACAGCAGGCATTACTACGAAGCACAGGTGTTGGGAGATTCGTAACAGAGCCAGTTGTCTCAATTTTTTTCACAATTCTTCGATTGGTGGCTTTTGTGGTAGATGATGAATATCATAAAATTCACGTTTGTCGCGGGAAACGGTTATTTTGATAATAAATTTGAATTATCTGCAGATTCTTTAAGCACTTGTGGATCTCTTCATTATACAATGACAAGCTTTATAGAATACGTACGTCAAAAAATGACAGCAGGATCTTTTGATATACCAAGGCCATAGTTGATCAAATATATATCACTCTTAATGAAAAACCTTTTATTTTGAAAGGTGGTATTGTTTAAAATCCTAAAATTTCCAGTTTTTACTGTATAATAAAAAAATATTATAGTTATTATTACGAAAAAAATAAAGTAACTACCTACTTCTACACACAGTGTGCCTGAACAAGTCTCAGGTCACATAAAAATGTCAACCAAAACGGATTGTATTTTTGGAATATGCATCTATTCCTCACTTCAAAACCATATTTTTCAAAATCCTAGCTGATCCTCTTTTTTATTTTTTTGCAATTTTCCGGATTTTTTGCAAAAATTGATGAAGTGATGTCTAAAATTTACAATTTTAGGCGGATTCCGCTAAAATATTGGTATGACCTATCAATTTTCAATAAAGAATCAAGAATTAAATTATAAAGAAAGAGTCGAAAAAAAAATTACTATTAATATTTTTCCATTTGTTTTATAAATCAATAAATTTTCTAATTTGAAAAGAGACTAGAGAAAAAAAGTAAAGTTTTTTTATAATTTAATTTTTATGAATAATAGTAATCTATTAATTTATTAAACAATAATGATACCTAAAATTACTTTACAGAAAACTATGAATCATTTACAAATTGTTAGAACTAAAGTCTACTACAGCTTTTTTTAAATGTTCAAGTAAATTGATTTTATACTTATTCCAGTATTTTATAAACTCGCGAAGGATCGACTCCCCAGCCTGCTCAGACCATGTGTCCAACCCAGCACCGTTCAAAAATCTAATACAATCTTCCATAAACAATCTTCGTTAGACTAATAGAAGCATTTTTGCGAAGATGATGAATTATTAGATTTTAATACTCTTGAGAACTGAAGAAACGACGTGACGTGATGAGTTTTCGGCGTACATTTTTTTATAATATTTACGACATTTCCATGTCTTTCTGAATTCGTACATATATATTTTTTTCCTTTACCAACTCTTGTGAAACAGATTTTGCCCAAAATAATTTTATTTTCGGTATCCTGGGCCCTTTTTTCCTTGTTTTTTGTATTTCCCCTTCCTCGTGTTACCTTCCTTTGAATCTTGCTGTTGTGCATATTCTGCACGCACGCACCTCATTTTGGATATTCATAGTAGAGATTGTAAGAACATTTTCTTTTTTAAAGTCTGTCATTTTCACCATCTTGCGTGTTTTAATATTTTTTTCTTAATCGCAGAGTATGCCTGCATGTACCGCAAATTGCAGTTAAAAACTTGATATTGCTTAGACTATATTTCGGATTACTAAATTTAACAAGCAATCTTTCCAATCTTGCAGTTATTACAAACATGCTTTTGGGCAGGGATTTTCCAAAAATTATCTTTTCACCGCATTGGGCACAGACTATACCTCTATTTTCTTCATGGTTCAATTTAAATCTTGCGTTTGTAGTCATTTTTATTTCAAAAACTTCAAAATTATCGAGAGAACAATTCTTTATAACCAATAGATAATATTAACTGTCACTGATAACAAATTACTGCGTATAAGTTGTTTTTTCGCTGAGGCATGGCTTACTTTGTTTAAAAAACTGCTTAAAGCTGTGTAAGCGTGTTTATAAGGTAATTGCACCATTGAACCTTTTTACTTGCAGCCGTATTTTGAAAAGCTACAGAAATTAAAATGTAATTTAAACTAGAGATTCTCTAGTTTTATTCCGATCTTATCCTATTCACCCAACGGATATCCATTTTTGAGTGAGTATTGATATATTTAATATATATTAAATAGATCAATACTCACTCAAAAATAAATCTACCAATTATATAGAATGACAATCATGTTATAAATCTAATTTAATTAAGCCCATATTCAGGTTTTTTGTTTTTTTTTAAATCCAGAAAATTGCGAAAAACTAAAAAAGAGGATCAGCTAGGATTTTGAAGAATATTATTTTGGACTGAGGAATAGATGCATATTCGAAAAATACAATCAGTTTTGGTTGACATTTTTATGTGACCTGAGACTTGTTCAGGCACACCGTGTGTGCAAACACAAAAAAGGGACAAACAGCATCAATTTTCCGGCTCATGCGTTCGTCAGCGGCGACGTGACGCGTTGGCTCTCCCCGAACGAATGGAGGATTTACTGCAAGCGTCTACATGACAACTATCCGAGCCTATTTTGACCAGCAAATTAACAACCCCATTTACTTCGAAAACCTTTCCAAAGAGGATACTCGACTGTCGGAGTTTTTAATTTACGTACCAGAAAAATACATTGTCAACTGACAACATAAACAATCAAGCACGTATTTGTTGCCTTTCACTTTTTAATTAATATATATTTTATATTTTAACAGAAAATTTTAAAGTACCTTTAGGCCTAACGTTAAAAAATGATTATTTACATATGTTTAAAAATTTTCCTTTTAATACTAGTATATTATTTTTTTTAAGTCAGGCAGGCCTGATTTATTTAGTAGACAGGTGAGGCACAACGTTGTAAAATAGGTCACAATATGCTTAGAACATATAGTTTATCATAATATCACTTAAGTAAAAAAAACAAGAAAATAATGAACGTCCAGAATTAAACCAATTAGATTAACGTGTTAAATGATTATAATGACGTTAATTTGCAATGATTTAGATTTGTCGGGTATCCTCTTAACCCATTTAGAATATAATTATATTTTAAGATTCTTTGGAAATTAAAAAAGGCGATTCAGCTTTGATAGCACAGCATGTCGAGCTTTTTGACGACGTCGACATTTTCGTCGACATCCTCGCATGCCCTTAATAACATTAATTCGCAATGATTTACCTTTTTCTGATATATTACAAATATAATCATACTCTGATATATTGTTTAAATCGAAAAACTACTACAAGTAGGCACAAATGACGAACTGATGACGTCGACTGACGATGAAAATTCTGCCTGACCGATGTCAACATTTATAACATTTGCGCCAACATGGTTTGTAGGGTAGCAGCTTTATAAAAAACTTGTTCCAAAATGATGCCTCAATAAGTTTTTTATAAAGCTGCTACCCTACAAACCATATCTTGAAGCAGCCTCATAACAGGAGATAGGAAAGGTTCAATTCGGTAAAAAATTATTTGACATAATTATATATATATATATATTAATAGTTATTTACGATATAAGTGGCATAAGAGCTTCATTAACGTACGCATGCGAAATTTCGCAAAAGTACGTTAATAACGCGTTATCACACGTATATTATACAAATTTTTATCTACGCCTCTAAATGAAAAAATAAACGGTAATTATTTTTGTCTACGACTTAATTTAGGGTTATTTTGACATTTTGACATTTTGACTTTTTTATTTGAATGGTTAAAAGCAGAAAAAAATGAGTGGGATAAGAAGTTCTTATCTCACTGGCGTAGATAACAAAAAATAAACAATATTTAATGGACTTGAATCTAAGATAACTTTTCATAGGGTCTTCTTTCTTTTTATTGGATTACCTTCTGAGTCTGGTAAAATGAAGGGTTCAATAATATTCAAATCTGAGGTTGTATTGCTGAATTTCTCAGACAGTTTCCGTGATCTTTCTGTAATTGTTATAAGGTTGGTCATTTCATATAGGAGCAAATTTGAGGGATTGTGCAATGGATTTTGTGGATGTCTAATCGAAGGCTAATTGTGTCAGCTCTCTCCAGATTCCTCAGGGTTGGACTTCTGCAGCTTTGGAAGATGATGGAACCATAATATAGCAGTGGCCGACAAATCATCTTGTAGATGTTGGTAGCTGTTTCAGTGCTTATACCTTCCTTTTTAAAAGTTAAGGATTTGGAATGTTTTGCCCTAGTGACTATTTTTTGTTTTATGGTTTTTGTGTAAAAATAAAGTTAAGTTTAGAGTCAAAAATCATTCCGAGATATTTAATATTGTTTGTGAGGGAGATTAGTTGGTTGTCAATTGAAATTTGTGGTGAGGTATATTTTATTTTTTGATTAAATATGATAAATTGGGATTTTCTGGAATTAATTCTTATTCTCCGTTTTAAAAACCAGTCGGATATAATATTAATCGATTCTTGAAGGTTAGCTACTGCAGTTGAGCGAGATTTGTGATGTGATATTAAAGCAGTGTCGTCAGCATACTGTAGGATATAAGTTTTTAGAGGCATAAAGGTGGTATCTATTATATCATGAACATAAAAGTTGTACAGTGTTAGAGAGAGTAAAGAACCTTGTGGTACACCTTTGGCAATTGAAAATAATGTTGGAATATATTGGCTGATTTTAATTTTTAGGGAACGGTTATCCAGAAAGTTTTTAATAAGCCACATTAAATATTCCGGGCAATCTAGTAGATAAAGTTTATATAATAGTCCTCTATGCCATACAATGTCAAAGGCTTTACTGATGTCCAGAAAGACGGCTGCTGAATGATGACCTATAATGCTGTGATGTTTCAAATTCGAGACTAGGGTGATCAGAGGATGAATTGTTTAGTGTCTTTCTCTGAAGCCAAATTGATATTGCGGGATCTTATCGCCAAGCTCTTAAAGAAGGAAGTTTTTGATGATTTTTTCAAAGTTTTTGCCTATCACCGGTAGAAGTTTGATTGGTCTGAAATCACTTGGGGTTGAAGCGGAGTTAGATTTGGGTATTGTATTATTGTAATATATTGTAATTTTAATTTTTAAAAACAAATTTAACTTCATATCTCTTATCATTTTGAATCGAATTTGGAAATAATGTTTACTTTTGTACAGGGTCCGGCAACA